AAAGGCCTGTTGGGAAATGTTGTCTGCAGTGGCCTCTCCAGTCTCCCGGGTCTGCCTTGCGGACTGTTGCATCACCGCCGCTGTGTGGCGTCTGCACATCTACAGGCAGTTCCCCCCCCCCCCCCAACCCCAGGAACCCCTCCTGGGAACCGCGGTGGTTCGGGAGAAGCGGCTCCCTGTTCTGGGTGTTGACCTGGAATTAGCCAGTCGGCGGCGTGGTGGCCTCCCCGGCCTCCTGGGGTCGGTTTAAGTTCAGATCCAGCAGTGAGACCAGCTCTGACCGGGAGCTCCTTCTCTGAGCCGGGGCAGGAGAGTAAGGGAGGGATTTGTCGGCCAAAGTCTCCCAGCGGCCCCGTCAGAGCGCCGCCGGCCCCGGGAGGCGTTCGGAGGAAACCCGCCTGCTGACGGGCCGGCGTAACGTCCGAGGGAGAGCAGAGTCGCCGTAGCGTCTCTGGACCGGAATCGTGGAATCGTGGCTGACGGACGTCACCACTGTCTTTCCCAGGTGTCGCCTGGAGAACGAGGTCTTTCTCATCAGTCTCTGCTGGTCCCACCGATGCCGTTCTGTGCGCATCGGGTGGGTTCGCAGTGAGCGTAGATGTCACTGCTGGTCCCGCGGCCACTGCAGCAAACTGGCTTTTGGTCTTCTCTCGAGGCTAAAAGCCTGCTTCCCTGCGTCTGGAATAGTCCGACTGCCATGCAAATCCAGCTTCTCCCAGAAAACCGCACTGCGCGCCTCATGCTGCCCACTCCCTCCCGAAGCCGGGGCAGAGTGGCTGGACCGTGCAGTGGTTTGTGCAGCGGCTCCTGGAATGGAAGCTGAACGTGGAGGTTGCCTGAGAGGCTCTGCTGAGGCCCTGGAGGGCCCCCGGGAGGGTGGCTTGCATGGTCACGGTGCTCTCGGCCTCAGCGGCCTCCTCCCTGCTCAGCACCGTCCCGGGCAGGCGCGAGGTCTTTGTGCTCGGATTGTTTTTGCTTTAGTGCACGTGAAAGGTCTGGGGTTTTTGGATTTTTTTCAGCAATATTTGAAGTGTAATAAATGTACCTAGAATTCTCTTAAGGTGACCGATTTTGTTTAAGAAAGCACTTATACATCCTCTCAAAGAGAAAAATGCCGTTTTACGTGCTGCCGACGTAACGGTGAAGAACCAACGACTCATTTGCAGTCTAGGGCAGGGTGTCAGGAGAATCTGGACGGGGAAAGGTGTGGCTGCAAGTACACCGGCCATTTCAGAAATGACGGGACTTTTATAAGGAATTTAAATGTGAGGGACTCCGTTCTCAAGAAAATGCAATGAGTGTTAGAATGTGCACTGCGGAAGCCTGCGGTGTAACTGCCGATCACTTACTCTGTCCGCCTGGGGCGGGGGGCGGGGGGGGCGGGACGCTGCAGCCCGAGCTAAACCCTGTTCTCTGATGGCAGGTACACCCGGGAGGCGGGCGTGCGCTCCCTGGACAGGAAGCTGGGGGCCATCTGCCGAGCGGTGGCCGTGAAGGTCGCCGAAGGACAGCACAGAGAAGCCAAGTTGGAGCGCGCCGATGCGACGGAGGCAGAAGGTGTGTGGCCCTCCGCGGTGTCGGGCAGGAGGGGGGGCAGTGCAGGTGCGGGTGG